TTCACAGCCTGCACTCAATCCATTGAGCTACACCAGCCAGGGCTAGAAGTTTGTTTTTGTTTTTGTTTTCATGGATACGATCAAGGTGTTTAAGAAATCCCCAGGCCTGCAGTGTAGAAGTAGATGCACATCCCTGGGGCCAGCAGCAAAGCCTTTTTTGTGCTGTTGTTTCCTTTGGTAAAAGCTAACACTCAGAAAAAAAGTCTGACAGTGCTGGGAGAACTTGGAAATCAATTTGATAAGTGCGCTAAGTATGCAAGCTTCAATGGGGTGATGTCCTGTGTGGCTTAGGTTTGAGCTCAGTAGTCAACAACTCAGCTAGTTCAATTTACTTGTTCAATTCATAAGGCGTTATGTGAATTCCATGAAGACTGATGTCTTCATAACTAGAGCGGGTTATTGTTTTTAATCCTCACTGGAGGATGTGTTTATTAATTTTTAGAGAAAAATATAAGTGTGAGAAGCATCAGTTGGTTGCCTCCTGTTCGCACCCCGACCAGGGATCAAACCCACAACCTAGGTATGTGCCCAGCCTGGGAATCAAACCTGCAAACTTTTGGTGCATGGGACAATGCTCCAACTAACTGAGCCACCTGGCCAGGACCCAAAGCAAGCATTCTTTCTTTACTTTAAAGATTTTATTTATTTATATTTTAGAGAGGGGAAGGGAGGAAGAGAGGGAGAGAAACATCAGTGTGTGGTTGCCTCTCATGTGTCCCTTGTTGGGGACCTGGCCTGCAACCCAGGCATGTGCCCTGACTGGGAATCAAACTGGTGACCCTTTGGTTTGCAGGCTGGCGCTCAATCCACTGAGCCACACCAGCCAGAGCACAAAGCAAGTAGTCTTTTTTTTTTTTTAAGATTTTATTTAGCCCTGGCTGGTGTAGTTCAGTGAATAGAGCGTGGCCCTGCAAACCAAAGGGTCACTGTTTTGATTCCCAGTCAGGGCACATGCCTGGGTTGAGGGCCAGGTCCCCAGTAGGGGGCCCTCAAGAGGCAACCACACATTGATGTTTCCTTCTCTCCTTCCCTTCACTTCTGTCTAAAAGTAAATAAATAAAATATTAAATAAATAAATAAGATTTTATTTATTTATAGAGAGAGGGGAAGGAAAGGAGAAAGAGGAAGAAAAACATCAATATGTGGTTGCTTCTAGTGCACCCCGCACTGGGGACCTGGCCCACAACCTAGGCATGTGCCATGACTGGGACTCAAACTGGCGACCCTTTGGTTTGCAGGCCTGCCCTCAGTCCACTGAGCTACACCAGCCAGAGTTACAAAGCAAGTAGTGTTGAAATTCAGTCTCAGTCTAGAAACCTTATTAAGTTGCTTGGTATGGCTTTTGGAAGTTAGATCTCACAAGATCTCACAGCTTGTCATGAGACATAGTAGGAATAGATGAGTTCAGCCAAAACTTTTTATTATAGCTAAAAACTTCTGTAATGTGCAACTTTGACACATGCAAAAAATAACTTAATAGTGACAAGCAAAATTAAAACTCAGCCCTCAAATTTTGTTTTTTCCCAATTATTTTTTATTAACAATATTTTATTTATTTATTTTTCAGAGAGAGGGGAAGGGAAGGAGAAAGAGTGGGAGAGAAACATCAATGTGTGGTTGCCTTTCATGTGTCCCCTACTGGGGACCTGGCCTGCAACCCAGGCACGCGCCCTGACTTGGAATCGAACTAGTGACCCTCTGCTTCACAGGCCTGTGCTCAATCCACTGAACCACACCAGCCAGGGCTGTTTTTTCCCAATTCTTATCCAGTGATCTTTCCTGTCTTGATAGTTCTTGCTCTTGAGAAGCCACCTTTAAGTCTGGTGTGAAATCAGAATTTATGGGCAGTAGCATCAGATATACTGTTAATTCCAAAATAAAGTGTACTAGGCCTTAAGGCTATGGGGGAGGGGAGTAGATGTGGCCTAGAGGCTAGAAAGGCTTGTTGGGGGAGAATATAGAACAGTCAACAAGAAAAAAGTATGGGGACAGGCCTTGAGATCATGTGTCCCCATACTTTTTTCTTGTTAACTTGGTTCCATAATCTTCTCCCCCAATAAATTCCAGCCGAAAGACTAGAAATTGTTAATAAACAGATTATTAATAGTGAATATATTCATATCAAGTTTATTTTAAGTACCTCCTATCTTATGAGTGTCTAAGGAAACTCACATGGTCCAGTTGTCTGGGAGGTTGCAGACATATGTATATGTAAAACTAGGAGGAGCCCAGAGCGGTGTGGTTCAGTGGGTTGAGCATCATCCCACAAACCTGAAAGGTGGTGGGTTTGATTCCCAGTCTGGGCACATGCCTGGGTTGCATGTGGGTCAGATTGTGGGTGTGCTAGAGGCAACCAATCGATGTTTCTCTTCCTCTGCTGCTCTCTCCCTTCCCCTCTCTGTAGAAATAAATAAAATATTTTAAAAAGATTTTATTTATTTATTGTTAGAGGGGAAGGGAAGGAGAGAGGGAGAGAAATATCAATGCATGGTTGCTTCTCGTGCATCCCCTGCTGGGAACTGGCCTGCAACCCAGGCATATGCCCTGACTGGGAATCGAACCGTGATCCTCTGGTTCACAGGCCTGCACTCAATCCACTGAGCTACACCAGCCAGGCCTAAAATTTTTTTTTTTTTTTAAGAAAAAACTGGGCCCTGGCTGGTGTGGCTCAGTAGATTGAGCGCCAGCCTGCAAACCAAAGGGTCATTGGTTTGATTCCCAGTCAGGGCACATGCCTGGGTTTTGGGGTGGGTCCCCAGTAGGGGGCGTTCAAGAGGCAACCACACATTGATGTTTCTCTCCCTCTCTCCTTTCCTTCTCCTCTTTAAAAATAAATAAATAAAATCTTTTAAAAAAAGAATAAAACTGAAAGGAAAATTCCAACAGAATGAGAATATTCACTATTACCATACAGTAATGGATGAACTCAAAGTGTGAAGTCAAGTCACTGAAGTTCTGGATATATATCAAGGTCTAACTCCATGGAGATAGAAAGCAGGACAAAGTTTTTCACCTGGGAGTTGAAACTCTGCTCTAGCCTCACTAGCCAGGTGACTTTGGACAAAGCTTACCCATAATACAAGGATAATACATCTTCTTATTCATAAAAAAGATTATACCCAATCTGGTACCTCAGGATTAATGAGGAGCATCAAATAAGATAAATGTTGACCAAAAGTATGACAGAGATTCGAGACAATATAATTGTAGGAAAATAAGTATTTGCACATTTGCATCTCAACAAGCAAAAAACAAAACTAAACTAAGAAAATGCATATTAGCATTTACATTTTACAAAAACACAGGGCCAGATACCGTCCTTAAGTCAAGTAGCTAGTAAGCACCTGAATTTAGCTACACTGAACACTCCTGGAACTTCAGGCTCTTACCGGGCTAATGATAATCCTATTATGTAGGAGCTAGGGAGAGCTAACGGTTTGAGGTTATTTATCATGGGGAGCAATTACCATGAGAGGTGACATCTGAGCAGAACTGAATGGGAGCCCAGAGACAGGGAAAGGCTGCATGTTTCCTGTGTGTCTTGGTAATTCCTGCTCCAGGAGTGAGAAGAAAGTCCCTGAACGGCCAACCCAACTTGTCCCCTTGATCATCTGGGGCGAGAAGAATGAGACAGGGAAGAGTGTAAAAGAGGATGAACCTTAATGGAAAATTCCAGGGTTTTAAGAAAAGTGCAAAGTCCTGAGAGTGCGACGTATGGTTCCTTTTTACGTCTCGCTGCCCACCTAACCCAGATGGGCAAACAAGCGACAGGGAAAAGAATCGGGAACACAGCTTCACCGCTGCCATTCCCCCAAAAGACTACCACGACCATAATGCATCGCTGCGCCGAGCCTAAGAGCCGCATCTCGTGACCTAAACGTCAGGAGATCCTATTCCCAGGGAGCGGCAGAGGCACCACCAACCCTGGGAGACTACAAGATCCAGCAGGCACCTCGCGCACCTCCACTGACCTGCCTAGCATTGTCAAATCCGGCCCCGCGGTCCGGACGGGCGCCCGGGAGCCTTCGCAGGGCAAGATGGCTGCTCTGGGTGCCGGAGCGGAGGTGAGGGGGTGTTAGGGAACAAACGTATTGGGTTTTCCTGTCGTGGCCGTGGGTACCTCCCAGTAAAACCTTTGTCTTGAGACAACCCTAGCACTTCGCAGTTTTGACCTGGAACCTCCCGGAGGGCTGCAAAATAAGCGCTTTCTCTGGGAGACGACGGAGGCACTGGGCTAGTCCATCAGGCCTTTCTGTCCCGACAGGTGCGACACTGAACAGTCAATGCCAGTGGGCGCGGGGAGGCGTGGCCTCCCCCTGGGCCGCCACCTGTACTGGTTTCTCTGCCTGTTCACCTTAAAGCTCTGGTAAGGAGGGGCGGAGGGCACGGGAAAAGGAGGGGACAGAAGATCCAATAGTCCTTGCCCCGGGAAATGAGGAGGATTGTGTCCCTTGACCATGGGAGTGGGGTGTTTTCTGGCTTCTGACTTTGCCCCTTTTCCCTGTCATCGCTGCAGCCAAGCAGAGGCTCCGGTGCGGGAGGAGAAGCTGTCAGGTAGGTGATGGTCTGGGAACCCAAAGCCCCTATGTTTTGTCGTGACAGCCACCCATATACCTAAAGCACAGATGGAAAAGGGAGGCGCCACAGGTGGAATGAGGGCATCCAGTTGTGCTGGGAAGTTGAATGGGCAGAACCCTTTGGGAGAAATATTTTCTGAATTAGTTCTGGAGCTGGTATTTCTCTCCCCTTTTAGTGAGCACCTCAAATTTGCCATGCTGGCTGGTGGAAGAGTTTGTGGTGGCAGAAGAGTGTTCTCCATGTTCTAACTTCCAGGCTGTGAGTATCTGTTTTCTCTTCCTTTTTTTCTCACATCTAATCAGTCCCTAACTCTTTTTTTTCCCCTGAACAATACAAAAGTTTATTTAACAAAAGTTCCTTATGAAAAGGGACACGACTTGATTTTTATATTGTAGAAAAACAGGTGCTGTGGAGAGGGGGCAGAGGACATGAGAAAACAATCAATTTCTCTGGTGAACACAACCATTCTTCATACTGGTCCCAAGGCTTCTGACATGATGATACTTCTTCGTATTACCACCATTCCAATACTGTTCTGTGTCCCACTAGTTGCCATCTCCACACATTCATCTATCACAAATTTCATGAAAGGATCAAATCTCTGCAATATTCCTTGGGCATGTCTGCCACCATTAAATTTCTTTTTCTTTTTTTAAAGTATATTTTATTGATTATACTATTACAGTTGTCCCAATTTTTTTCTCCCCTTTATCCCTCTCCACCCTGCACCCTCTCTCCCACCACTAGTCTCCCCCCTCCTTAGTTCGGTTTATGGACCTGTCCATGGGTCGTACATATAAGTTCTTTGGCTTCTCCATTTCCTGTACTTTCCTAAACCTCCCCCTGTCTAGTTTGTGCCGACCAATTATTCTTCTTATTCCCTGTACCTTTTCCCCTATTACCTGCCTCATCCTCCTGGCTCATAACCCTCCATGTGATCTCTGTTTCTGTGATTCTGTTCCTGTTCTAGTTGTTTGCTTAGTTTGTTTTTGTTTTTTATGTTCAGTTGTTGATAGTTGTTTGTTGTCATTTTACCATTCATAGATTTGATCTTCTTTTTCTTAGGTAAGTCCCTTTAACATTTCATATAATAAGGGCTTGGTGATGATGAACTCCTTGAATTTGACTTTATCTGAGAAGCACTTTATCTGTCCTTCCATTCTAAATGAAAGCTTTGCTGGATAGAGCAATCTTGAATGTAGGTCTTTGGATTTCATGACTTGGAATACTTCTTTCCAGCCCCTTCTTGCCTGTAAGGTCTCTTTGAAGAAATCAGCTGACAGTCTGACGGGAACTCCTTTGTAGGTGACTGTCCCCTTATCTCTTGCTGCTTCTAGGATTCTCTCTTTCATTTTAATCTTGGCTAATGTAATGATGATGTGCCTTGGTGTGTTCCTTCTTGGGTCCAACTTCTTTGGGACTCTCTGAGCTTCCTGGATTTCCTGGAAGTCTATTTCCTTTGCCAGATTGGGGAAATTCTCCTTTATTATTTGTTCAAATAAGGTTTCCACTCGTGGCTGTTCCTCTTCCCCTTCTGGTACCCCTATAATTCAGATGTTGGAACATTTAAAGATGTCCTGGAGGTTCCTAAGCCTCTCCTCATTTTTTGGAATTCTTGCTTCTTCATTCTTTCCTGTTTGGCAATTTTTTTCTTCCTTGTGGCTCACTCCCTTGATTTGAGTCCCAGTTCCCTTTCCATCCCTATTGGTTTCCTGTGCATTTCCCTTCATTTCAGTTAGTGTAGCCTTCATTTGTTTCTCTAATTTGTGACTAAAATCAACCAGTTCTGTGAGCATCCTGATCACCAGTGTTTTGAACTGTGCATCTGAAAGTTTGGCTATCTCTTGGTCGCTTAGAATTATTGGCTCTGGGGCTTTGAGCTGTTCTTGAGCCATAATGTTTTGGTCTGTTTGCACCTGTTATGGATGAGGGGCAGAGCCTTAGGTGTTCTGCAGGGTGGGGCAACCCGAGTTGCTGGATTGTGATGCTGTGTGTGGGGGTGGGGTCAGAGAGGGGCAATGGCGTTTGTTCTCCTCTCTCCCCTCTTCCACTTCCCAGAAGCAAATTGGGCCCTTCTGGTGCTGGTTCCCGGGTGTGGGCCTCTGCACCCTCCAGGACCCTGTGGGTCTCTCCAACAAACTCTCTGTGAGCCTGGGAGCTTCTCCCAGCACCTCAATCCCGAAAGTCTTTCCAGTTGGTGCTTTCAGGCTTTAATTCCCATCACTGGGGCCCTAGCTCGAGTGGTCTGTCTCACTGTTTGCTCTTTCACTTGGCTTATCTGCGCTTGAATGTGCGACCGCAGTCAGCTAGCCGCCCTGTGCCCTCACTGGGTCCGCCCATTGCCACCCCATGCCTGGGATCTGCCGGTCACTACTTACACTCCTGGGTTAGTCCACCGATCATTCTTGCCTGACCCCGCTTCGCTGCTGACTCTACCCGTTACCGGTCTGGCTAAATGGTTCATTGTTGTCAGACTTCCGTACAGTTCAATTTTCTGTGTTTTGGCTGTGCTTTTGTTACTAAAACTTTGTTGTCTTTAAACTTGGTTGTGCGAGGAGGCAGTGTTTCCACCTACACCTCCATCTTGGCCGGAAGTCCAATTTATTTAAGTTTGGAGGGTGAGCTTTGTTCATGGTGTCTACTTAACAAGTTCAAAGATATCTCCAAATGAAATGTGTGGCCTTTCTCATGTTCCCACCTTAGTCCCTACATCTTATTAAGTATGCTTTTGCATTGTCTTTTGTCTTTTTCCTTTGATATGTCCGAATCTGAATTTGTCTTCCCTCTGAAATGTGCCCTTTGCTTTCCAAGTTAATGGCAACATTGAGCTAATAACCATGCCTTGTTTGTTTTTAATCCAGGAGGCTCTAGAACCTGTCCCTGCCTCTCATAGTCTATTGCCTTTGAAATATTCTTTCTAACACGTATTCCTAATCATACAACCACCACCTCCACCATCCCCATTAAAACTCATCATTAGTTGTCTGTTGCCTACCAGCTGAGCCTTAGCACTCGATCACCTGCCCGTTCTGCAGGGCACCTTTCTGTTTCTCCTCCCACCCTCTCCTGATGTGTGCTCTGGTCCTTTTCTCCTGGCAGAAAGCCACCTCTGAATGTGGTTCCACAGGATATGTGGAGAAAATCACATGCAGCTTATCTAAGAGGAGTGAGTTCAAAAGGTAAGTGCTTTTTCTCTTCTTCTTTTTTAAATCCCCAACCTGTGGATATGCTTATTGATTTGAAAGAGTGGGGAAGGGAGGGAGAGAGATGAGAATCATCGATGTGATAGAGAAACATGGGGACCTGTTGCCTCTTGTACACGTCTTAACTGGGACCGAACCCACAACCTTTTGGTTTATAGGACAACACTCCAACTGGCTGAGCCACACCAGTCAGGGCTGGTTTGCTCCTTGAAACCTCCTAGATCACCTTGTTTGCTGCTATGACTTTATATAAGTAGTCCTACCTCTTCCTCTTGGTCTGGACGTAGTATGGCATATTGGAAAGAGAAGGGGATTTGAGACCAAATTACTTCAACCCAGGTCCCACATCACCCTCTCAGCACTATGGTATTGGCCATATTTTGTCAGTAAAATTGGTTAATACCTGCTCTGCTTATCTCACCAGAAAATAAGTTAAATGATACATCTGAGTGGGATTTATGCACCATGACCACAGTGGATTGGCTCTGATTTTCTCTTTTCCCCTTTGATGTATTTGGTTAGGCTGAAGTAGAAGGGAGGCTATAGGGAGGCCAGACAGCCTTTCCTAGGAATAACTGTTTCTTCCTACCCTCAGCTGCCGCTCAGCTCTGATGGAACAACACTTGTTCTGGAAATTTGAAGGGGCTGTTGTGGGTATAGCCTTGGTCTTCGCTTGCCTTGTCGTCGTTCGTCAGCGACAGCTGGACAGAAGGGCTCTGGAAAAGGTCCGGAAGCAAATCGAATCCATATAGCTGCCTTCCATCCACCCTTTCTATATGGGTCTTACAGACCCGACATCAGATAGAGAAAGTGGAATGGACTGACTTGTGCCCCTTTGTAATTTTTTGAGGGGGAAAAATCCAAAAAAGCCTTTCTTCTATCTTCCTTGGCTAGATCATTAATGAGCAGAATAAAAAGAGTAAAATAGAGTATAAAATATTTTCCTTCCCTTCTGTGATTTGGTTTGGGGCAGGAAGTTATAAAGGCAGGGAAAGGGGTAGGAACTTTAGGCCCTAGTTTATCAAGTACATGTCTTCCTTCTCTTCTACTTATATAAGTAGAATTTTACTTATTTAAAATTCTGGAATAACATTTCAGCAAAAAAAAAGAAGTTTATTTCTCAGTGAAACCTTCTGTTTCCTCTCAATCCTGTCTCCAAAGAAGAAATAAAATCATAGATACACCATAAAAGTATCTGAGGCTCCCCCTCAAATAGGCAGACTCAGGATAGACATCTAGGGCATCCTGATGTGATTCAGACCCTGGGGCCAGAGACCCCTAAGTGGGAATCCCAGGGGGAAGCAGAGTCAGGGGGCCCCGGAGTCCTTATGTGACCAGGTAGTGGGCTGGGAAGTGTTCCAGCTCACATCTCATCTGCATGCAGCACAGTTCTGGGGTGCCCAGTGGGGCCTGGCTTCACTCCTATCTTCTCCAGCAGTGTCCTTGTTGATCCATTTGCACCCTTGGTCCCAGGTAGCCCTCCCAATCTGGACTCTGTCTTTGGGGTCTCCCAATTTTTTGTTATGTTCTTGTGGGTCAGGATATTTCTGGAAATCACTGTGGGGTAAAGGAAAAAGGGCAGTAGAGTGTTCCCTTGGGTGGGAAGTCCTAGACAAGCCAGACCCTCCCTCACAGCTCTTGACTACTCTGGAGAAAGCCGCCACCTGCTCACTAGGTAAAAAGAGCCCTTCCCTGCCCTTCCCTCTCACCTCCATGAGGCTGGTAATCCTTGGACCCAGTTGCTGGTAGAGCTTGAAAGGGGCTGAAACTAGGCAGGATGATGAGAGCCAGGGAAAAAAGAAGTATCTGAAGGAAGCAAGAAGACACTTGGGCTGTGAGAAAAATTAAAAAAGAGGGCAGAATGAATAGAAGGCAGTTGGAGTCATTAGGGGTGGGAAGATTCATGTGGCTTGGGAGTCAGAGTATCAGGATGGAAGTGTGGCAGAACATGGAAATGGGGGAGGTGGGAAGTGGACTAATGGTACCAGAACACAAGTGCTGGTCTGGGCAGCCTTGTTGGAAGTTTGAGTAATGAGCATCTGCAGCTGGCGGAGCTGAGTCACCAAGGAGCTGGGAAAGAAGGATGAGTTACACCTGGGAACCAGGGCCCACCATTGGTGCCCCTGTGTGCTGCACACTTCCCCCGACATGCACACCGTCCTTTCACTCACATGTTGTGCCTCTCCAGCTCCTGGACTTTTTTCTGTAGTTCCTGGTTCTGTGCAGAACAGGCAGCCACCCTAAAGAATTTGGAAAGGTAGGACAAGGTTCTGCCATTATGTGAGTACCTGACCTTGCCTGCCTTGGTAAGGGAGCGGTCCCAGACCTAGGCCACAAGCAGCCAGAAATGTGAGTTCAAACATACCTGCTTTCTAGTCCATCAATGTACTCTTTCTTCCGGCGCCGACTGTCCTGAGCTGACTGCTTGTTACGGATTTTCCTCCTGACCTTCTTGAGGACCCTTTCCTCGGCCTGGGGCCCCAAGATATATCAGTCCTGGCTCTTAATGCCCCCCCTCCGCCCCAGCTCCCCAATTCTCTCCTGTGATCCTGGCTCCTCAGAGGCATGGTGGAGCCATTGGGTTGCGATTCCTTTGAGGAAGCATGTTACCTTGGTGAGGGGCAGGTGAGAGGGTAGGGAAATCCCTTCCTGCCCGAGAAGACGCTTCTCCTCATCAGTCAGGAACAAGGTTTGACAGGGCAGCTGGTGGGGGGGCAGGAGAAAACGAGAGGGAAGAGGGTCATCCCATTTCCAGCACCCCAGCTGCTCCCCCTGCATGCCTTCTAGAGAGTGTTTCCCATTTGCACTGAGGAATAACTAACCATGAAATGAATTAAGGGCAGAGACCTTAATTCAGACAGGCTCTAGATCATACTTAAAGGGACTTCTGAGGCTGAGAAGGGAGAGAGGACATGGTTTTGTCATATCCTTTGACCACAGGCTCTGGACTTCAGCACTTTGAGTAAACTAGGGAGAACCTGTTCTGGTCCACATCTCTGCAAACCTTAGAGGTATTTGAAGAGAATATGGGGTAACTCACTAAGGTAGGGTTTGCTCAATTTCCCAGCAGGCAAATGATTCACTTTCAGCTATTCTGTTTGGCAGAGTGTGTTATCCAGTCACCTGTCAATCACAGGAGCTACCTGGGCAGTGGCCCTTTCTTTCCAGGATCTGATCCCCACCTTTCAAACTAAAGCTCTGTCTCCTGTCAAAGAACTCCCTAAGGGTAACCAGACTGAACAATTTCTCATAAAGTATGTGGGAAGGGGAAGCATTTTCTCAGTCTGTTAAGATCTTGCTTACGCGCATATCCTCTGTTTGGCTCAAATTATTATAAAAATTCTCAAAAAAAAGTATGTAGAGAGGCTACATAGTGTCTGGCTAATGTGAGCACATCAACTGAGTGACTTGCTTTCTAATTTTTTTCTTGAAAGATTTATATTTAATTTTGTGATGGGAATTTGCTTTTGCTTTTGCTTTCTAATAGTCTTTGACTTTTAGCTAAACCATTTCTTCTATCTCTGCCTTTTTCTGATGATCCCTTCTTGTTCCTATGACTATGAGAGTGGTGTCCCTCCCAGTCCACCTGATCGAAATCCGTGAGAATGGGGCGTGGAAGGTTTTATTTAAAAAGCAAAACTGCCCTGACTGGTGTGGCTCAGTGGATTGAGTGCTGGCCTGCAAACCAAAGCACTGCCGGTTCAATTCCCAGTCAGGGCACGTGCCTGGGTTGTGGGCCAGGTCCCCAGGAGTGAGTGTGTGATAGGCAACCCCACATTGATGTTTCTCTCCCTCTCTTCCTCCTTCCCTTCTCCTCTCTCAAAAATAAATAAATAATAAAATATATATAAAGCAAAACCACAAATTCCCCAGTGTTTTAAGGTCCCTCAACCCAAAATTTTAAGATGCCTGGCTTGGGGTTGGCTACTTGTCTAGCTTCAACCACAGATTTTCAAGGAGGCTCAAAACTGTTCCCTACCTTTTGCACACAAGTTCTTTCCACGATAAAGGCATGGTCCCCTCCTCACCCCCCTAGAGGAACCAGACCATAGCCTTGAGAAGTTATCTGATCTGCCTGCTGGATAATCGCTCCAGTAGAAATGTAGTTGCAGTTTCTCCTCTTACATTCCATGCCCAGTAATCAGTTGGATTCTCAGGCGGCCTGTCCCATTTCTGTGTCCTGACCCAAGACTGAGACAATAGCTGAGCAAACAATGCACATAAGGTTCAGACTTTTTCCTTTAGCCCTATTCCCAGATTCCCTCACCCCAGCTTCTTAATTGTTATCACCACCTTACCCCCAACTGCTTCTCTCCTTTGTCCTTTCCTGCTTTTATTTTTTAAAAGATTTTATTTATTTATTTTTAAAAGATTGTATTTATTTTTAGAGAGAGGGGAAAGGAGAAAGAGGGAGAGAAACATCAGTGTGTGGTTGCCTCTCATGCGCTCCCCTACTGGGGACCTGGCCCGCAAACTAGTCATGTGCCCTGACTGGGAATCAATCCAGAGACTCTTTGGTTTGCAGTCTGGCACTCAGTCCACTGAGCCACACCAGCCGGGTCCCTTTCATGCTTTTAAATTGCCATGTCTCCCTGGCCTTCAGGCCCAATGGCACAAAAATTAGGCCAAAGACAGTTCAGCATCAGTTTCCCCCTCCTGTACCCCCATCTGTGGGTATATATGGGTGTATCAGGGAGGACTGGATCAGGCCAACCCCAAGACTCACCAGGGTCGCAGGAAGCACTGGGTTTACAGTGCCTAGTCTCGGCTGGATGCAGGCCTGAGCATTAAGGGGCAGCTTGCTGACTGTGCAGGCATCAGGCACCATAAATGGTGGGCTCCACTGATCTGAGGGAGACATAGGTGGCTGGGAGAAAGGAAATGGAAGGTACACCTGCTGGCAGCAGTGCCCGGGTAGTGGCACAGATTGGGGAAACCCCCTTAACCCCAGGGCTAGGGCAGAATCTGAAGGGCCATTATCCCCTTGCCATAGAACATTACTGACCTAGCTGAATGGAGATGAACCCTACAGCTGGCCCAGCTTCCTCCTGCATCTTCTCCAGGACCTCTGCCTCATAAACAACCTCATAGAAGGCAGGGGAACTGAGTGCCTTGGGGATAGGGGAACTGTCTGCATGACCAGGGTCCTCAGAGATTCCACTGTCACTGCCAGGAGATGCTTCTGAACAGTACACTTCATTGGGATCAATGAAAAGCTTTGGGAGGTCTTCAGGCTCACTCTCTCGAAGGCCCTATGTTAGAAGAGGGTATATATGTATATTTACAAAGAAGAGTTCTGGAGTCCTTCCTGACATCAAAATCTAGATCCTTCATGCTTCAGTTTCAGTCCTTTCTGTTTTTGGACATGGGGATACTTACAGTTTATTTCTATTTTAGGTGTACCATCTTCAGACCTCTTTCCAAATGTAGGCTGAAGCCTCTTGGGCTTCTTACCAGAGTTGTTTCAACCCACCCCTACTGCCATTCATCACACTCACACAGACATGGCCCCCACTGGACTCGCAGCCTTGCCGGCCCTGTTCTTGTGGCATAGTCACTGGGACCTCTGGAGGTGGACAGTGGTGTCCCAGCTCCAGGAAGGATCCTGTTAAGACATCGTCTGGGGGTTCCAGCCAGAAGTCCAGCAGGTCAGGGGTTCCGAAATCCATGCTGCAGGGAGGCATGTGGGGTGGGAGAGTTGCGGGGGGATGATGGCCAACACACACACACGCACACACTGCATCTGGGTTCCTCTCACTCCCTCTTCCATTACCCCCCTTCCTCACCTTTGGAGCCTCTCACCTGTCAGGCAGAGATCTCGCCTCGTCCTGATCTCTGTGGTTTCCACGAACAGGACCCCGGATTATTACCTGTTCCGAAGAGCCCAGCCAGCCCTGACAAGCCAGCCTAGCCTGCTGACCAAACCGAACAGTACACCTTTTCTTCCCTCCAGGATCTCACATCCTGGACCTGCCCAGCCAAGCCCCACCCCCAGCCTTACACTAGGAAAGTGGGTTGCACCTAGTCGGGATCCAAAGTAGGGACGCTGAATCTGGGAGCAGGGGGTTAAGAGGGTTATCGTTCACAAACCAGACCTGAGAAAAACAAGCAGCTTCGCTCCTTCTGCCTTAGTTTTTCCTAGCGATAGCAAATCTTCCCGAGGTGGCTCCCCAGGGAAGAACCCAGGTGGCTGTGACAGGATACTCGAGTGCCTGTTCTCCGGCCATCAATTCTATAAGAAGGAGACCAAGGGCCCTAGCTAGTGTAGCTCAGTGGATGAAGTGCGGGCCTGCGAACCAGAGCTGTTCGATTCCCAGTCAGGGCACATGCCTGGGTTGCAGGCCAGTTCACAGCAGGGGACCCACAAGAGGCAACCATACATTGATACATTGATCTCCCTCTCCCCTCTCTCCCTCCCTTCCCCTTTAAAGAACTAAAACCTTAAAAAAAAAAAAAAAAAAAAAAGGAAAGAAAGGAGACCAAGGCAAGGTTTGAAAACAAAGAAGGAAAGAATCGGCTGTTGCCAAGATTTACGATGAATCCCCTCCCCCGTGGCTTCCGTGGCTCTCAGCCCACGCTGAGTCTGATGGGAAACTGGAGACGTAGCGGTTTTGATGGGCAGGGCAATGAGCGAATGGAATTACCCTCTGGTCAGACTTGGTCAGAATTGGCTGATCAGAGAGGGAGTAGGGCAGTAGGGCCAATGGGGTTGGGGCACTTATAAGTCCGGCGGGGATTGGGTTCTGGAGACCAAAGAGGGGTAAGAATTAGAATTGCAGTGAAGGGGGAGAATTCAGGGAATGCTGCGGCTTGGTTTGGTTTCGCTTGCTATGTGACTCGTAAACCCAGATTATTACTGGGCGGGGGGGGGGGGGGGGGGGTGAATATCCTGTTAGCCCACATTAAGTGACAGAGCTTTGACTGGGCCGGTGGAAGGTCGTGCTCTCGCGATTTGTCAAGACCAATTATAGGTATACACAGGACTGTTAAGTAAAGGAGGTGAGAGTCTGGAAAACTATAAAACTTTAAAAAATCATTAGGGTTTACGGCAGGAATATGTCTTATTGTTTGCATACAATTACCAACAAGAGTATGTGTCCTACATGTGTATAGTATACAAAATATTTTCATTTTTCTCTCATTTAATCCACAACGGCTCTGAGGGAGACAGGCCAGGAAATGTTTTACTAATTTTACTGATGACGATACAAAGATCCATGACTAGAATGTAGTAATACCAAAACCCAGGATTTTTTTTCCCTTGATCTAGTGACTGATGATCTAAGAATTCATTTTAAATAAAATAATGAAGCTATGATGATGTAGGTATTTTCATCTGCTTGCCTCCTCAAAAATATTTCAGAGAAGAAGTAGCTGGGTGACTAAAGCAACAAAGTTTGGGGTGTAGATCTGGAATTCAGACTGGTATTCTCATGAAAATTTCAGTGGGTTGAAGGTAAAGACAGGTACAGACAGTTACTGGGTAACTATTGCATGTTGAGGCATTTTCATGTAACTAATATAATTCTCATAGCAACTCACAGCAGTCAGAGAGAAGATAAGTAACTTTCTCAAGGTCACTGTAAGTAGCTAACCCAAAATTTAGCTGCTTGAGCCCATATTCTTTGCACTATATTAAACTGTCTTGCTGGAGCTTTCTCAGATTTCCCAACTCTCTTTTTTGCTCATCCTGTATCTTGCTCAAGTAATGAAAAGACAAAGCAGGTTCCTAGATTGATGCAGAAGTCGGAGGAAAATAGAACCATCATTACTTATATTTTCCCCAAAGCAATAAAGGTTTCAAAGGGCTTCCTTCTGGCTGAATGCATGGAGATGATTACATGGAAAATATAGTCAGCTTCCATCAATGTCAGAACTGGAAGGAGCCCTGGCTGTTGTGGCTCAGTGAACTAACCGAGCACTGGCCTGCAAACTGAAAGGTTGGCAGTTTGATTCCCAGTCAGGGCACATACCTACCATATTTTTTGGACTATAAGACACAGTCCCCCCCAAATTTAGGAAGAAAAGGATGTGTGTCTTGTAGTCCAAATGTATTTTACCTGGCTCCCTGGGGCGGGGGTGGAGTGAGGTCACAGGTTATTAAATATTTTACCACACTTTTTGCTTCACAATATTTTTCCCTATTTCTTCCTCTAAAACCTAGGTGCATCTTATGGTCTGGTGCGTCTCATAGTCCTAAAAATACAGTAGGTTGTATCCCTGATTGGGGGTGCGTGAGAGTCAACTGCTTAATGTATCTTTTTAATTTTTTTTATTTTTAGAGATGGAAAGGGAGGGAGAAAGAGAGGAAGAGAAACTTCAATGTGCGGTTGGCTCTTGAGCACCTTCTGCTGGAGACCTGGCCCCCAACCCAGACATGTGCCCTTACTGGAAATCGAACTCACAGCCCTTTGGTTCTCAGTCCAGTGCTCAATCCACTGAGCCACACCAGTTAGGGCTGATTAATGTATCTTTTTTTTTTAAAGATTTTATTTATTTATCTTTAGAGGGGAAGGGAAGGAGAGAGGGAGAGAAATATCAACGTATGGTTGCTTCTTCTGCATCCCCTGCTGGGAACTGGCCTGCAACCTAGGCATGTGCCCTGACTGGGAATCGAACCGCGATCCTTTGGTTCACAGGCCTGCGCTCAATACACTGAGCCACACCAGTCAGGGCTGATTAATGTATCTTGATGTATCTCTCACACATCGATGTTTCTCTCCCTTTCTTTCTCAATGACTTGCCTAAGATCACATACCAAATTAAGTTAGAGCCAGGACTAGTACCCAGGTGTCCTGGCTCCCAGTCCATGATTCCTTCTCAATGTTACTAATTAGCAATACTCGTAGAAGCATAATTTGCCACAGACAAACCATAGTATGAATAATATTCCCTTAAATAATCTGGAGTTTCTTCTAATAGTAATTTTTATCTTTTAATTAAGAGCTTGAGCCCTGGCTGGTGTGGCCCAGTGGATTCAGTGCCAGCCTATGAACTAAAGGGCTGCCTGTTGATTCCTGGTCAGGGCACATGCCTGGGTTGTGGGTTGATCCCTGGTTGGGGTGTGTGCAAGAGGCAACCAATCAATGTTTCCCTCTCTCATTCTTTCTTTCTTGCCCTCTGTCTAAAAATAAATAAAAAAAATTTTAAGAGCTTAAAACAGCACTGATTATTCTTATTAAATGATGGGGAACTACTACTCATTTGACTTACATCATGCTCTTACGCTCCATATGATTTTTCTTCTAGACTACCTACTTCACGAAATCTTCACATTCCCCCTTTCTTTCTTTTTTTTTAAGATTTTGTTTATTTTTAGACAGAGGGGAAGGACAGGAGAAAGAAAAGGAGAGAAACATCAACACCCTGTACATTCTGCACCCGCCCCCCCTTGCCCCTGGGGCCCCGGGGACGCAGCCTATACCCAGGCCTGTGCCCTGACTGGGAATCAAGCTGGTGACGCTTTGGTTCTCAGGCTGGTGTTCAATCCAATGAGCCACAACAGCCAGGACACATTCTCCTTTCCTTAAGGAAGTCGCTGTCCTTTGAAAGGGTAAAGCCAGAGCCATTTGCTATTGTGGCACCATTTGCTGAACAGGCCTGTGACCTTGTTAAACAAGACTGCCATTTTACTCTTCTGAGCTTGTCCCCACAACTGGAAATTACTGGAAGGTAAGAACAGAATGAACTACTCTCTAGAGTCACAGGCAGAAGATAATATTGGAGCCTTGAATTACAATGCCTGCAACAGCCCAGGGCCACACAACAGCAGCCCCTGCCTTTTTTTTTTTTTTTAAGATTTTATTTATTTTTAGAGAAAGGAAAGAAGGAAGAGAGAAAAACATCAGTGTGTGATTGCCTCTTGAGTACCGCCTACAGTGGTCCTGGGCTGCAATCCAGGCATTTGCCCTGACTGGGAATTGAACCAACGACCTTTTGGTTTGCAGGCTGGCACTCAATCCACTGAGCCACACCAGCCAGGGCTCCACCCTTTTTTAGTCCAATTATAATCCAATAAAAGCTCAAAGCTTCCACCCCGCAATGCTTGTGTATCTCTCCACACTATACCCCTTTCCTTTCAGGGAGAGCAAATAAAAACTTTATTCGTAACTTTCTTCTCTTTGTGAATTCTTTCACAGTCAGTGTCACTAACCACCCTAACGGCCTTGATTTCCAAAGCCGTATCAAAGGCATCACTCTGTCCCTTCTTTAGGGAATGAGGCCTTTGCAAAAAAGAATAAGCTGAGCCCCTTTCTTTATTTTCCTCCTTTGTTCCCTACTCTCCCATGAGACTAGAAGATTCTGATAGCACAGGAATGTGGGCCAAGATGATCCAGGCTAAGGAAATAGTAAAGGCCCTCAGTTGAAAATACCTTAACCCATTCAAAGATCAGAAAACAGCAAAGAAGTCCTAAGAAGGGAATGTTTTCTTTGGCGCCAGGGTGCACAGAAGGGATCCAAGATCAAGCAGACATACAGTGAGGCGGAAGATTAGGGACTGAGGGGTGGGTATAGGACACCACCCTTGTTCACTTCCTGTCCGGGTTTGTAGCTTCCTTTTTAAAAAATCTCTAAAACATCAAAGCCTATGTTGAGCAGCCACCTCCTTGCCAAGCAGAAAATCGCAGTGGCCCAGGCTGTCTGCACCTGAGATACTCGCTACCCTTTCCTGGCTCTTGCGCATTCTCCTATCGTCTCCGGCTACACTTGGCAGCGGCTTCCCGTCTTTGATTGGTCCTAGGCCACGTCATTCTTTTCATGGCCCCGCCCCCGGACCTGTCATTGGCAGCTGGAGGAGGATTCGCAGATGCTCTGGTTCGGGGAGGAGGGGCTCTGGGGAGAGGGGTGGGAATTCCCGACTGGAGGCCGGAACTCAGCGAGTGCCATGTAGTGAGACCCTCGCGAGGTGAGTGCGGACTTTATGGGAGCGGGGTTCAGGACAGCTGCCCAGGCCTCCTAGGAGACCTAGGAGCTGGAGTTTAGGCTCTCATATTTTTCTGCTTCACGGGACGCTGGCGGCCGCGGACCCCGCCTACTGAAGCCCGGACTTTCAGACGCCGCCCTCAGTTGTTTTCAGTAGGTCCCGGGACCCCGGACTCCTTGGGCCCTTTTTTTAGTCATCTACTCCGACGTCCCAGGCTGGGGCCTGAAGTGGTCGCTCTCTGCTTTCAGGGGGATGGCGCTGGGCAAACGGGAGCGGGAGAGGGATCCAGCACCCAAGTTCGCCCTGTTCAGGTGGTCCAAGAAGCTACCCACGCTCATCATTGCACAGTCCCTCCCCCCGCCCCAACCTTAGCCTCATCTGTTCCTTCCCAGAAGGGGCCTGGCCTCCATTTTTCTTACAGGACCCCAGCTCCCTAGTTCTCTGGGAGTTCCAGATGAAAGCGTAATGACATATCTACACAGTCCTCATGACTCCGTTTCCCCCTCGCAGGGCCCCTGAATAAGTCACTTGGAAGGGATAAAGCCTGAGGGGGAAGAGGAATGTTCCCAGTACAGGAGTGGATGGTGGATGAGTCACACTGGGTTGGGGAAGGTCAGAAAGTGTCTGGTGTGAGGGAACTGCACTCTGCTGACCTGTCTTTCCCTTTCTT